GCACTAGCACCCAGCTGCCCCCTCATGGTTCCTTCACTGCCATGGAAAGTGGTGTTCTGTCTCCATGAAGGTTTCAAGTACTCTAAATACCAGCTTCGGATGGATTTATACAATGTTTGGGGGACGGACACAGTAGAAAAGAATGACAGTGGGTATATGTTTCAAAATGCCTTGTTTAAAGTTTATCTCTGGAGAAAGAGATAAAAAGGGGGAATTGCGGAAGTTTATGAAGAGAATTATGCAGAAGATGTGATGCAGCATATTTTTGGTATATTCATTTTAATCTCACCAATATATAAGAGGTGTATTGCATCATGTTATCCCTAAATATATGTGTGGGTATATAAATTCCTGTGTATTAATAGTTGAAGGAACAAAATACATTTTTCCTCTTAAATATAGAGAGGTTTTTTATAGATTCCTGAAACAATGTTCCCTTTTCTTTAAAGTAGATTAGCGCAATAGTCTTTTTCTTTCACTTTTACCCTTTTCATCAAAAGGGTGCTTTAGGCTATTTTTGAGGGGTAAAATGCAGAATTACTTGTGAGTTCTGTTTTGAGTGAAAAGATTACCCTTTTGAGTGTTTTTCTTGGTTAACCATTAGATATAGTGGCTAAATTCGTTCTAAGTTAATTATGCGCATCCTGCAGGCCTTGAGAATTTAGTCACACAGTTAAGAGAGACAATGGTCCTTTTAGACTAAGGGTGAGCTTACTTCGGGTGAATAAAAGTTCAGAGATGATTGGGGGGGTATGAAGACAGTTAGGCGTTGTTGGTGAGCTAGTTCTGAGGATGTCATGGGATAATGACTGTTATATTCCCAACAAGTATGGCTTTCATAAAGAAACACATGACTTGGGTGATAAGATGTGTTTTGTTGTAAAATGGGCCCGTTTGGTTTTCTGCTGGCCAGCGCTGGGTCACTGTGACAAAGCATATTTTGCGTCTGCCAATGAGAGGACCTGAAAAGATGACCAGCTGACCTCACCCCTTCCTTCTGTCTTCTGGTATATGTTCTGTCGATTCCTGAGTTCGGCCTCTCTTCACATGCTGTCAGGACCGGAAGGATCTCCGCAGCACGCGAACCAGGGCAGAAGTGGGCCGGCTACTTCTTAAAACATTACAATATGATTTTAGTATATTGTATTATATGGTATTGTAATGTATTATAGTGCATTGCATTATTACCTTTGATAATTAAAACAGATTGTTTAAACTGGTATCTGGGTGTTCTCTGTCTGATTTCCTTCCTGTTATGATTTTAAGCAGGACACGTCAAAACGACACGCGGAGCCGAGTGGGGTTGTAAAAACCTCAAAACTCCAACAAGAGGTAGGGAGAGGCGGGGCTATGATCGTTTAGGGCGTACACACAGTGCAGCAAGCGTTACGTTACCAGCTGGGTAGGATTTTCACCGGCGGCCATGACGGTCATGCCGTCATTGCCCCTCGGTCTGGCCATGGATGTATAATAAGAACTGGATACAGCGTGGGAGGCGGGGCCTCATTCATTCCTATGAGAGCTGCTCATTAGCGCATGATGATAAAATGGCCCAACTTTTGAGAGAGTGAAACGTCACAGATTACCCAGCATGCCTGAGAAGTACCCGTATGTGCACTCATAGAGCATGCGCAACTTTAACCAAAATGCTCGTTCACATCAAGCACGTCAATTTGCGTACACGTAACAGCACCGCGCGTTCATGACAGCATGGTAATGGATTGTTGTTATCATGGATTTGATATGAACGAGGCAGCAGTTAGCAGCTAGCGGCTAGCTAGTAATGATGCTAATGTACACATCAATCGTTATGTACTTATATTACGCTGTAACAGGATCTAGTGATATCCAACAGAGCTTCATTTAGCATGAAATAATTATTGCACTATATATATATATATATATATATATATTTATATACAGTGCAATAAGCTTCTTAGTGCAATACGAAGCTACAGGGATAGTTAATAATGTCGGTAATATTAACTTTATTTAATACAACATTTACGGTACAAGATTTAATCATACAGCCCATGTAGTATGATAATGAATTACAGCAAACATGTGCAATATATCCATTATTACAGCTCCGTGGGATGGCAGTAAGACGATATGGATCCGTTCTTATCCATGGGTAAAGATAAACGCAACTCACATTGGTTTCTCATACAGCATCTCTGTAAACTACGTGTATTCACTGAATTTCACTCTCTGCCTTTAACGGCTCTTGTAGCTCCAATAGCTCCAGCCCCACCCTCCCTGTGAGCACAGTGTGCTCTGATTGGTCGGGACACGTAACATGAACGTGCCGGGCGGCGCGGTCCCGTGGGTTAGATGCACGTTCATAATGCAGAGGGATAACTCTCAGAATAACGTTATTAGCACATTTTTACAACTTGAGGAACGAATGTTTTTAATAAGGGCTATACAAGTGTTCATACTGGGTAGTTTATTTAGTTTAAAACAAATTATCCAACAAGTTACAGACCACTCTTTCCCCATGTAAGTCAATGGGAAAAAGTGTTTCCGGGCCTGGCAACCAAACGGAAGTGTAGTACCGCCGTTTGGCCAGCACGAATATTTTCATCTGAGTCCGGCGCACTTCCTGGGGGCTTGGGTCTGGCCGTGAAGCCCCGAAAAGAATTGTACGTCCTACGGCCACCATGGCCTGTGTGCCCCTGATACTGTTTAAATCTCGATGTTGCTTTAAAAGCGTCAGAACAGTGGTTTCTGAACTGCATTATGCTGCGTTCACAATGGACGCGATGCGAATATTCTCATCGTTCTAACCACTGGAGTTTCACGCGGCTGTCAGCTGTTTACTCCTGTCATTCAAACAGGATGCGCTGGAGAGGGGGCGGGGCTTATATCCATGTAAATACTGTGGTGGAAACCAACTATGATACAATTTATTTTACCGTGATTTAATTGTAATTAACGTTTCAAAATGATGCCCAAGTAACTAACTACTGATAACGGTTAGTAAAAACCATGCTTTGACAAGTGTGCAGACAAGACGGCAGGCGAAAAACTTTTAAAATGCGTGTTCTCTGAATTGAGTGATCTCCATTCGATCAGATCAGGCTAAACTAACCTGTATCAGCTCCGTCCAAACTCACAACAACGTCCTAAAGACAGAATTAAAGCAGCGACTGTATTCGCCATGACACAGACAGTCTGTGTCTTGTATGTTTAACTTTTGTCTAGTTTCTAAACAGATATGAGGAGCTGTGAGGAGTTGATTAAAGAGACTCTCTGTATGCTTGTTCCAGGGTTTCCGTTAGCCGGTAATTACCGGTTTTTAGCTGGTACAATTTATTAAAAACCGGTAAATTCAAAACCTGCCGGTCAAAATGTCTGGTAATAATTAGGAAGGCTCCGATAGATCGGCCACCGGTCATTATCGGCCGATATTCACTCTTAATAGTTTGATCGGTGCTCTATATAAAGAACGATCAGGAGAGCTGGATCTGATCGATATGGACATAAACGCGAGTGAAGTATAACCGGACACGCGAGAGAGAGATCAGATCAGCTGCTGAGTCAGACCGAGACAAGCAGCTCTGCATAATCACCTGAAGCCCCGCCCTCTGTTTAGCTGCATGAGAAACTGACGGGCTGTCAGGAGAGAGGGAGGGAGAGGGGAAAAGAGATGATCCGTTTCTCCCGTGTTATTATTCAAAGTTAATGTAAACTTTTGAATAATGTACGTTATCTACTACAAGTAGTTTGTTTGAATGTAATAATTATGTTGTTTGTTGTTTGTGGAATCATTTATTGAAAAATGGATCTGAATTTTTCGATCTGTTACGATTATAGACTGAAGCAATATAAAAATGAGCCCCGTGAACTGAGTTTTAAACTGAAGCATATCTGCTCATAGTCCGGTAATGACCTGCTAACGGAAACTCTGCTACACAACTCTTACTATTATTATTGAAATATGACCGGTAAGTTTCAAATGTATCCGGTAAAATAAATTCTGCCCGGACATTTGACCGGCGAGAAAAAATCCTAGCGGAAACCCTGGCTTGTTCATACAGTTGAATGTTTGAGCTTCACTGTGCACTGCTGAATGATGTATGTGCAGAGTTTGACCCTTGAAGGCTGTTTCTTCTGCTCTGAAATGGAATATATTTGTTACATATTAATATAATTTTAGTTTTTTTGATTTCGAATTTGTGAATGGGAGAAGTAGATCGAAAAAATACTAAACACTAATTATTCAAAGTAGTGTATTTCCTTTTATATACGGTAATACTAAGGAGGCATAGGCCTATATCAGGGGTGCCCAACCAGAATCGGGAGATCGCGAGATGTGTCTAAAAATAGAACAACAATATTCTGTTTTATCGTTAATGTCCTATATGATGATATCATGTTTGACATTATTGATATTAAAAAAGTAATTTGTTTCCCATGTCATTCGTGTGTTTTTCTTATCAGAAAGTGTAGTTATTTATTTGTAAACTCCAAATCCCAATGTTTCCCTCAATGGCCTTTGTGCCCTGGCATGTGGCCTTTGCGCCCTGAAAAAATGTGTGACACCAAAGGCCAAATGGCCTTGCCCCTAAAATGACGAAAATCCAAGCCTGGTTACCAGACGTTCCCACTTTGGGATGCATTATCGTTTGAGGGCTCCGTTTCCGCGGTTCGGTTACGGCCTCATGTGGATAAATTACGATCAAGAACTATAGCGGATAACACCCGTTTCGTCTCCGTGTGGACGGGGCCTTATATTCTTAGCTGATGTTTTGAGGCTAAAATCATTTTATTGTTGTTTTCACAGTTACCAAATATGCTAATTTACAAGAAATGGATGTGGAAAAGCAGATACAGAATGTGTTGTTGTCATACAGTGTAACAAACCTTTATATTTTACGAAACTTTTTTTTAAAGAACTTAATCCAGAAATAGAACAGCAGTAGCATATTTTTCTCCAAGGTAGTGTGAGTTTTCATTGCTGGCACATATGCAGGTATAAGCCTCCTGTGTGGGTC